AAAAAAAAAAAGATAGGTATATGTAAAATGCCGGTACGTTTAGTGTTAAACAGACGAGCGGACTTTCATATTTTTCTCTTCTTTTCTCGAAACGAGAAGTAACTTCCGCACTGCAATTTGACTTGAAGATAATCGAAGAGAATGCAACGAGAGAAGAAAGGATTTCGGGAGAGCGGAAATCAACTTACATCTCCGAGGTCGACTTTGTTCAAATAGCCGGCGTAATTTGCTTTCCCGTTGGTTTCCTCTTTGCTGTAGTAGATCCAATTGTGCAAGCCGACCACTTCGGTACCAGTTGGTACACTCTTAAGTTCCGCCATGAAAACATGCTCGAAGCCCGAGCTACCAATTTTCCCTTGCCCTCTTGAGAACAGGTTGAACCATATTTTCCTCAACGTCTCCTTGTATTCGTAATAATCCTTGCGGATCTTCCCTTTGTCCGCTAGAAATCTCATGGCGGCGGACATGACGTTCGTGCTGAGGAACGTGTCCACGAGAAGGCTCTCCTCTTGCCTCTGCAACGGGCTTATGTGCTCATTTACATTGGTTTCCGGCTTGTAATTATCGTAGATCGATATCACCCTTTGAATTGTGGGGCCCTGGTATGCCTCTGCGTTCACCGTGAACAATCTGCAAGTTAAGGCCTATCGTTTGTGAAATAGGTACAAATTTCGTTAAGTAGAAATTGGGAGGAATTCTTCTTCAATCCGCATATTATGTTGTCTACAAAACTCGAGAAATTAGAATTTGGTGATATACTTTTTAATAAATAATCTTCTTGAAGTCTGTACTTCATTAACTCTTTCCCCGATTATTTCAATTGAATAAAATTTTTGAAATATTCATTCTACATAAACTACCACTATTTTATTTATTCTACCAATTTTACTGACGTGGTATATCTCAAAAGTCTCTATTCTTTTCTCTCGTGCAGCCTTCTTTCGGGATAAGTTGAAATTCTATAAAAAGCTGTTATGCCTATCCAGAGACGTAACTCGCTTGTCTTCGATTTATTCTTCATTTACAATTTAAAAGCTTACGGCTGTGTCGCGTCGTCTGTTGTGCCACTGCTGGTTGTCTTCTTCTGCAGATTCAACGTGATATATCTATTTGCGTTATTGTTGTCCTTAATGTAGAGAGCCTCGGAAAGTTTCTCCAAGTCTTCGTCGGTGATGGAATTCCCTTTGCTGTAAGTAGGGTTACTAGAGTAGGTTTTCTTATCTGCTGCGGCTGCTCCTGCCACAGCTGCTCCTGCCAGCGCACCACCAGCCAGTGCACCTCCTGCTATTGCTCCTGTTCTTCCAGGTTGAGTCGGTGTCGATGGCCTTGGTTGAGCTTGACCTATTTATCAAACAAAGAAGCTTTGTCCATTGTACTTCAACTACTAAAAATTTGTTTTATTTACTAAGTATTTTACTTTGAACATTTTATACGTCTTTGCATACTATATTATATTATATGTTATGTATATATTTGTATACTTCTAATCTCCTATAACTGTCCTATAATTTTTCAGAATAATTTTTCAAAATAAAATTTATCTTCGTCGTTATACCTGGTTGGCTTGGATAACCAGGTTGATTTGGATAGCCAGGTCTTGGAGAAGGTGTAGGCGAGTTAGGTCTGCTGCCACCTCCAGCCACGTCTGCCCAGGTTCTTCCTGGCGAACCAGGAGATCCAGGACTTCCTGGTGCGCTAGGAGAACCAGGAAGGCTTGCTGGTTTAGATGGTGTTGGTGTTGTTGGACCAGGTTTCAGTGTTACAAACAATGAGGACACTTGATTGCCTCCAGCCGCAGGTTGAGGTTGTCCTGGTGCAGCAGCTGGCTTAGAGCTTGGTGTAGGTGATCCTTCAGATAAAGAAGAATATTAGCATCAAAACTATTTTCTTCTGTGTATTAATATGTTGTACCTGGTGTTTGTGGACGAGGTTGAGGCTGAGGTTGTGGCTGAGATTGAGGTCGAGGTTGAGGCTGAGGCTGTGGCTGTGGTTGTGGTTGAGATTGAGGTGCATTTCCAGGACTCGCCGCTGGTTTGGCACCTGAGAAACGAAAAAAATTAAACGATCTTCTAATTACATTATATTAATTTGTACCTGGCGATGGAGGCTGTGATGGAACGTTTCCTGGCGTCGAGACTGGTTTAGCTTTAAATAAAAGGAACATACAATTTCCCACAACTCGACTACGGGGGCATTCATGCAAATTCAACAAGTAGAACTCAAGCAGAAATATATCTCTTACCCCCTGAAAATATTATAACGAGAACTCTATTTTAGTCTACATTCTTCAAATTAATCTTTACCTGGTATCTGCGGCTGTGCCACGCCCGCAGCGCCCAGTTTCGAATCTACAAAAGATCCACTGGATTAGTCCGCCGACTCACACATTATTAGAAATAAACTCCAAAAACTACAAATTCTTGAAAGTCGATCAATCAACCTGCAGGATTTAATGCCGGCCCTGTACTGGGCAATCTTGGTGGTTGTCTTCCAGGTTCTCCAGCTCCAGTTAGATCCACGGCCCATTCTCTATACCCTTGACCTTGTTGACCGCCGACGCCTGGTTTTCCTGGTTTCGATACCGGGAAATCGAGACCCACTTCCGTTCCTGGATTCGGCCTGCTCGGCCGAGCATTCTCTTTTACCTTTCCTCCGGTCGAAGCGACACCGATCGCTAGTCCAAGATCCCCTGCTCCGAGGACCGTTGATTCGACGTTCTTTGGACTTCCTGGTGATTTGTTCGTCACAGGTGTAACACCTGGCGGATCGTTCGATTTCGTTGGCTCAGGATTTGTTCCAGCGACTGTTGGAGCGATTGTCGTGGTTGTAGTTGTGTCTTTGTCCTTCTTCTTCCAGAATTTCCATCCTGCCTCTGCGTCGTCTGGAAATTGAGTCGAGGTTGGAATATAGACAATTTTTTATGTTGTGGTAGATAGTAAGAATGAGAGTGCGATCATTTAAGAATTGCAAGATTTTCTGTTAATACGCGACGTGTGAATAATTGGATGGTCGGATATTAAGGTTTATAGAGAGCCTTTTTAGAGAGAGAAAGACGAGAAGATGATTTAGGATAATCGTCATTAGCAGTGTCTGCGTAGTTTGCTTGAAGCGAGCAAAAAGGATTGATACTCGTAGATTAGAAAACTAGACAGTGCGTAAGTGTTAGAATAACATTACGCGGAAGATTTAATTTCTTTGAATGGTGAACCGTAGAGTTCTGTCTTTTATCCAATGAAATTATTTTAGCGTATCTAAAATACCAATTTGGTTCCAAATTAAAATACCAAATGCTTGTTCCATAGATTTTGTCTTTACTTTTCAATGATTAAAATTGAAATTAAAAATACATCCTGCATCACTTGTTAGAAGAAGATAATAAGATTATCGTGGCCATTTGTTTGATATATCCAGTAATTACAGTGAATAATGGTGCATCGATATGCATACGATTGTATGTGTGTGTGTGTGAATCGAAATTAACAAGATTTACGACGGTTGTAACTGCTTTTCTGTACTGTGACTTATCTTAAAAATGCCAGGCACTTCTTTGTTCTGGAATCCCGCGTTTCTGTCCTCGATTACGACGATCTCGCGTGTGAGAATGAACCCGCGATAACCTTGGCGAAATCACGTAGTTTTCGTTGCAACAGCAGATAATAATTCTCTAAACAGCGCCTCGAGAAAAGTCGTTACATAATGCCCGTCATATAATATATTTGTAACATGTAAGTAAATGCACAGACTACGAACTGCGCGTAAATTTCAGAATATTTTGAACGTTTTCTCGAACATCGTCGCACTGGCGGAAATCAGACGCGTCTTTCATTCATTCCGAACGATCTTCACCGTTAAACGAGAGTCCAAGGC